TTTCAAAACCCATCCATATATGGCCTCAGTAATTGGGCTTAAAAGCTCTCCAACTATGATCAAATGTCTGACAAAGATTTTCTTGCGGTGACAGAATCACTCTCCTGGAATTCAGCACAGAGGGAATATGAGAATCCAATAAAAGTTGTCTGTCTCATTCATGTTTGAACAGGACCAGGGAAAAAGATTATCTACATTGCTTTTGTTGTTTAGTCACGTTTCCAAATTTGGATGAAACCTCATATCTCCTCCAAGAGGTCAGAAGGATGCTGATTTTCCACTAAAGTCAGCTTAATTTATGTCTGCGAGGTAATTTTTTTTATCTTTGTGCCCTAAATATTTATATATTGGCCCTCTCTCTCAGGATTCAAGCATAAATATTTCCCATGACCCTTGACTTATGTCTTCTTACCACTGGCTACATGTTGCGTTTTCATGTCCTGCTGACAGACAGTGAAATGAACAGCTGATAACAGACATTTGAACAAAATATTTGCTCAACTGAAAGAGCGGTCATAGCTTCTAAAGTTGAATTGTACAGTAGCTGGTCTCTAATGTATTACTGTGAGACACTGCAGCCAAAAACACTTTTCATGCAGCTGTCAAGTTTAAGATTTTTTTTTTCTTCAGGAAAATATAAAATGGAAAACAATTCTAATGTAAAGAATACATAAAAAATACAAAATATACCTGTCTTGTTAAAATTAATTAAAACAGAACAAAAAGTTCTTTTTTTCTTTTTTTTCAGTCTAACAAAACAAATCAATTAAAACTAAATATGAGACAAAGCAAATAACAAAACAGGAAAACATTTCAACTGAAAAATAATAACAAAAGCAAAAACACGGTACAAACAGAAACAAAAAAATTAATTTTAAAAAGTTTGTGTTTTATAAAAAAAAATTTTACTCTGTTCATTGTGCACAAATTAATAGACAAAAAATAATAGACAATGCTAAGCAAAACACAGCAAAACAATAAAGACACAATCAAACAAACCAGAAGACAAAACTAAAAACAAAACAAGACAAAACAAAACAAAGCAAAAGACGGAATAAAACAAAACTAAACTAAACAAAAAACACATAATAAAAATAAAGTCACAATAAAACAAAACAGAAGACAAAACAAAAATTAAACAAGACACAACAAAACAAAGACAGAATAAAACTAAACTAAACTAAAACACAACAATAAAACTAAAGTCACAATAAAACAAAACAGAAGACAAAACAAAAAAGGAACAATAAAAAACAAAACAAAAGACAAACAAAAAACTAAACTAAACAAGATACAAAACAAAAGACACAATCCAACAAAACAGAAGAAAAAACTAAAAATAAAACAAGACAAATCAAAGCAAAGCAAAAGACAGAATAAAACAAAACTAAACTAAACAAATACACAAAACAAAACAAAGCAGAAGACAAAACTAAAATTAAAACATGACACAACAAAACAAAGGTAAACAAAACTAAACAAAAAACACAACACTAAAACAAGACACAATAAAACAAAACAGAAGACAAAACAAAAAGGCACAATAAAACAAAACAAAATACAAATAACTAAACAAAACAAGAAACAACAAAACAAAAGAAAGAAAAAACTAAACAAAAGACAAAACTAAACTAAACTAAAACATGCAATAAAAAATAAAATGCAATAAAAGACACAAAAAACAAATCTAAAAACTAAACAAAACAAGATACAACAACAGACAGAATTAAACAAAAGACAAAACTAAACTAAAACATGCAATAAAACAAATAAAATGCAATAAAAGACACAATAAAATAAAAGGCACAAAAAAAACTAAACAAAACAAGATACAACAACAGACAGAATAAAACAAAACAAAAGACAAAACTAAACTAAAACATGCAATGAAACAAATAAAATGCAATAAAAAAGACACAAATTAAAAAACAAAATAGTTGACAAAACAAAAATTCTAATTATGACCTGTCCTACAAAATAAGAGCACAGGCTGGTACAACTCAGATGAGGTATATGCACACAGACTTTTAATTTCAGCCAGCCACCCTCAGCACTTCCTGAAACTGACTTTCCATTATAAAATTGCCACGTTTAAGGTCTGATTTCTTTAAAAATACAACATGAATGCTGTAAAAGGAAAATTATGAAAATAGTCACATTAAGCTTTTACCAGTACGTTATCATTAGCTGAAAAACATTAGCTGTGCATATAGACCATTTGGCACACAAGTTTGTGCGGAAAGAGGCTGAAATTACTGACTACTCAATTCAGGAATCAGAAACTTTTTTAAATGATTCCTCAAAAACTCCATTCATACTGCGTTCTGACCTATGAAATAATTCATATGTTTTACATTCACAAAAAGTAACACTGACTACACAGTACATAAGGTTGAAAAAAAAAAGTAAAATAAAATAAATAAATCATTCAAAAGCTGCATACAGAAACAGACAAGCTCAGATTGTAATGATCCAAAACAAGGCCAGGAGTTCATCCACACATACTGTAATTTGCATTTTGCCACAAACCACTGCAGAACACAGTGAACTTTTAGCATGCAAAGCGAAAACTGGCAAAGCTCCTAGCGAACGTCACAATAAAAGAGTGAAGTGAATAAATAAAGCTGGATCTAAGTTACATGATTATATGCTAAAAAACTGTGGCTGGAGCTCAAGAGACAGAGCAGGAATTCAGTGCAGGTCACGTCCAGCCACATGCTAACAGTAAAACCTTTGATAAATAGTGCTAAATGGACATTATAATGTGTAGATTGCAAGTATAGCAATCACCACATTATCAATGTGTGAAAAACAATCATTTGTATTGTGATTAGGTATTCTGAACATAATAAATCAATATTTCTGTCTATTTTTTAACCAAAGTAATTTATTTTTACGTCAGCTGTTTGGAAGGAATACATTTAAACTAAACTATTTAAAGGACTAGATAAAGAGCACCACCAAGAGGCAGATGCAGAGAGGAGAATTATGAACAAGTATACAAACAAACACACATGATTAAAATCAAGCTAAAACATGTTTAAATGTATTTCTTTAATTCAGGCAATCCTATGAAAATACTTAAATCAGGTAATACAAAAAACTTATAAATTGCAGTTAATAATTTCTACAATTACTCAATTTTACCATAATGTTTAATAGAAATACTTAAAAAGAAAATATTAAGAAAGCAAAATGTTGTTTTAATGAAACTACAAACACACAACTGAAAATAGAACAAAAATGAACTGACCAAATAATAAAATAATTGCAACTGAAAACATAAAAAATATCACCTTACCGAAAATACAATGTTAACGTGTTAAAGCACCTGATTGAGTAATAATAATAATAATAATAATAATAAATTAAACAAAAAAGAATAAATAACCAGAAATTGATTTATTATTGTTAATATATACAGTACGTCAAAGTTTTGTATGATTTGGTGTGAGCAGCTGTAAATTTACTGGGAAACTTGAAAATTTGTAACTGATTTATTTATTTATTTTTATTGCTTGTTTGTTTGTCTGCATCCTGAAGTCTGTTCTTCGTATCCTTCGTATACAGGATTGTTTTGTTCTCCAAAATTCATTCAACAGTTGTTGTCAGCAACAGGTCTTGTAGCTCAAACCTGCTCGGTAGCAAACTTATTTCATATAAACAGGATTAGATTGTGTAATTTCAAGCAAAGGTGATACTAAGAGTACCCAACTGCTGATATTTTCTTACAATAGTTATATATATAAAATTCTGACTTTAACTGTATATATAATTGATTAAATTGGGTTAAATAGCAAGATATTTAAAACATTTATTTAATTAAAAATCTTAATAAAAAATAAACTGCTATCTACACTCCAAAAAAAAAAAGTAAAAATAATAAATAAAAATACAAGTAATGTCACTAGGGTGGTCCAACACAAATCGATTAAGTTAACCTAATTGTTTTTACAAATTCAAGTGCATTGAACATAAAACATTTAAGTTGTCCCGAAAAAAAACCCTCAATAATTGTGTGGATTCAGCTCAATTTAAGTAGATAGAATAAGCAGAAAAAAAAATTACTTTTAGAGTGCAAGATATACTTTTAAGATACCAATATGCACAATTTAGATACAAAAGCGCACTTTGAAAAGGTACCGACCCAGCTTTAGTACAATTTCTGGAGGTGTATGGACATGCTAAATTCTTATTATTTTTTAAAGGAATAATAATTTATTGCAGTTATGCACACACTTTGACAGCTAGTGATTTGATGCAGCACGAGTTTTCGACATTTACCAAATATCAAAATGGTTTTTGAAGAAAAATTAATTGAATTATTTCCCAGAGATGAGTTGCAGCTGGAAGGGCATCAGCTGCGTAAAAACGTGTTGGATAGGTTGGTGGTTCATTTCGCTGTGGTGATCCCAGATTAATAAAGGGACTAAGCCAACAAGATAATGAATAAATGAATTTAAATAACCAGTTATGCCTTACGTTACAAGATTACAAAGCTTGAATACTATCCCAAAGACAACCTGCTACAAAATTAAGTAAGTTGATAAATATTCTTGACACATGGAGGAGTAAAGCCTGCAGCCCATAACAAATGTGGAAAGTTATTGCGTATCATACACAACTGTTTACCATTAGTTTTGTGACATTTTTCTCACATGGATAAATGAATATTAGTCAAATGAAGTCATTAGGTTGCTTTGCCATCAACTAATTGTTGCATTGCTAATCAAGATTTCGAGGATTAATAGATCTGCAAACTAGTTTGAAGAACCAAAAGGGTCAGAAATCAGTTCTCAAAATTGAAAGATCCAGGATCTGTTCAATCATCTTAGATCATTTAAAAGCGAGGTAAGAATAGAGCCCTGCATGGTATCCTAAATAGACTTGATATAACCTGAAATATAAACACCTGTTAAAATTATCTTAGTAGTTTCACTGTAAACATCCTGTACACTGCAAATTCTACAAAAAAAAGTTGAGCTTGAAGCCACACTCACCCGCTGGTGATGCCATCCAGCCTGATGCTCTTGCCCAAGACGTCTCCATCACTCCTGTAGCCTGGGGTTTCCAGCTCCTCCACCTTCTCTGAGAGCTGGAGGCCGTGTGCGCAGGCCTGCTGAGGGTTTGTGTGCTGGATGAAGGTGTTTGATGAGGACGGGGCTTCACCAGCTTGTAGGCGAGGGCTGGAGGAACCCAGTCTCCAGGGGCAGGAGCTGAGGGTCAGCAGAGCTCTGCCATTGATCTCCGTGGTGATGGTGCTGTCGAAGGTGGTCTCAAGGGTGCTGTAAGGTGGTGTAGAAAATAAACCATAGGTAAAGTCTCATGTTATATTTAATAGGTAGAATTTAATAATAAAAATCTCATCTCAAAATGTAATATAAATACATTTCATTTTAGTGCATATGTATATTAGATTTCATCAGGTTCAAAACTCTTCATTTATTATTTTGTCATATTTTGGGCTTTTTGTTATATTAATAAATACTGTACAAATAAATTAGCTTCTTGAAAAATTGTTGTAACTTAAGTTTTGCAGTAGGCTACATTTTGAGTTAAGATTTCTCTTTAAAAAGAGTTTGCATTTTTTACTAAATTTTTTAATCAATGAAGAACTAATAAACAGGTGGCAAATTTAAGATGGTGACAAACATATATTTTAATCAATATTAGTAATGCAACGATTATAGATTTTGGTTTTACAATTATAGTCAGAGGAATAATCACGGTTTCATGGTTATCACCATTATTATGCATTCATCAATTTCAAAACACTACAAGTTTATAAAAATGACATAAAAACTCCCTATATTTTAAAGTGTTATTTATTGCTACTCAATAACCAATAAATACAGCACAAAATAATAATAAAAAAGAAACAATAGTCCATTTTATTTGGACTTAAAAATTAGTGAAAAAAGGTGACATTTTGACATTTAAACAAAAGTAATAACTTTAAACTGAAAATAAATGACAGAACAATGAATAAATAAATAAAAATAATAATAAATAAAAATACTATTTGTCTGGTGTAAATCTAATGTAAGTATTCAATCATGTGTAATGGAATGTACTGAAAGTATTGTGCTTTTAAAGAGAACAAAACTTTTGTCTGAAACCTTTGGTATTTAAATTTTTTTGACGCAAGTAGAAATGTGTAAATTCCATACAAAGCATGAAGCTGATTCTGTAAAGTTTAGATGTTTTCAACTAGGTGTGCCTGGAAAGTGTGAGTGCATCACTCCCTATATGAGCACACAGGTCATTCGCCTCCATTGGAAATAACAAACTTGCGCATGCAAAAGATGCAATATATGAACGGCCCTTAGTTAATAAATATTCAATCCAGTGTGCGTGCGTATTTGTTTCATTTTAGCAGTTTTGTTCCATGAAGAAATGCGGTGTGGAGAAGCCTTTACAATTAATTAACTCTGATAAATTAAAGCGAGGTTAATAGAGAAATCGGTTAATCATTGCATCTACACACACACACACACACACACACACACACACACAAATTTAAAATTAAGTGTTTGTAATAAATTCATTAAGTTATTTTAATTGTTTTTAATTGAGGAGATGTCTTCACATATTTATAAACAGTATTTATTTTCTAATCTAGTATTTAAATTACATTATCATTCTTATTTTAGGTCACAAACTATTTTTTATATATATATATATTTCATTGCAAGAGGCATGTCTAAAAAATTAAATATTTACCTACATGTTTAGGTATATTTATATTTATATACAGTATGTTGCAAAGGACATCTGTGAAGGAAATAACTTCAATTGTGCTCGATTGCTGGCAACATTCATTAATTAAGCATTGTTTAATAATTATAATTGAATTATTCATTTATAAGGTCTAAAAATACAGTCTGAAATTATAATATTCATAATCTAACATTTATTACATTTTTTTAAAATTTAAATAAAAAAACATATTTCATTTACATGTACAAATCTACAGAGCAGAAAGCAAAACAACACAGGTTTGCCATAACACGAAATACTGACAGGTTTTGTTTCTGTTTAAACTTTAAACCAAAGATTTGTCCCAAAGCAAAGCACTAAGTAATATCAGCACTGGATTTCTGGCAAATTTCTGTATATCCACTGAGTTCCAATGTAACATCAAACTAGGCTTTTAATGCAGCATTAGTAGCGGTAGGAGGCTTCTACTGATTTCACGGCCAGCTTTTGTACATTGGAAGACCGAGACGTGCATCAAACCGATCACGGCGAAGACAAAAAGTGTGCAACCCCCAAACCAGCTCCTAACGCCAATCAAACTGTCCTCCTCAATGCCATCCAGAGTTTAACAGTCCACAAAAGATAAAAGAGTTCAGACACCCGACACAACAGGCCACTTTCTGAACTGTGCCACTCATTATTAATGTCATGTTGAACTGCAAGCCAAAACACTGCTTGACTGACTTACATTAAGAAACCCAAAGCTTTTTATTTTGCAAGTTGGCTAAGTTGTTATTTTTAAATGAGCATATTAGCCATTTTTTCTTCTTTCATCATTACATATGCACTAATATAAATACATTGTTTCATTATTGGATCACACGTTTATACACATTTAATAAAGTCAAATGTTTTTATTACAGAGGTGATTTTGTGAATCTCTTTTTCAGAAAAAAATCTGATTGAAATTAAAAGAAATAAATACCATAAAAATACAATACAATGTTTTATATAATCAAGGAAATGATTTATGAACAAATATTCTGTAAAAGCTTCGGAATATAGCAATATATTGCAATATAAACTGCAAAGTTTGGTGTTTATAAGTCATGCTGAAGAGATTAGAAGGTTTATGGCTCAGTATAGCTTGTAATTCTGGTCTATATGTATTTTGTTTTGGTGACTTTTTTACAATTTACCCTTTATATTATATTTATTTAGTAATTTAATTTAAAACTATAGCAGTAACTGTATTTGGCAAACCAACAATTCTTAAGTTTAGTATCTATAAAGGTTCTCATTAAATATTTATTTATTTATCATTAAATGTATGTCAGTTTTTATTTTTCATTTCAGATTTTGCCATTTTTTTAACCTTTTTGCTTTTGTTACTTTTTTTTCTTTTTAATTCATCCAAAATTCACCAATATATGAGCAAAATCACACTCGTAGCAGTGCGATGTGGCTGTATATCAGCACTGCTGAGAGTTGTGTGTGCCTTAGTGTCCCACCAGTGCTGATTTACAGCCATATCGCACTGCTACGAGTAAGATATTGCGTTTATACAATATTTTGACAAAAACCCTTCGTCTAAAAACCCTTTTGTATTAGAAACTACTTTCTTCCGCCATTTATTCACATCTGCAGCTGATGTCAGAACAGCAGAAGCATTAGTAATTCATCAACGTCACTTTAGAGCTAGTATTTAAATGATTCTCTAGTGTAATGTCTAAAGTGATGACAAAACAGGTGATTTTGCTGACATTTTAAGATTAAAAAGCTGAACGTAACATGAAATGCCATCAGTCCACAGAGATATCTCCCCACTGTATTACAGTCTATTACAGTCTACAGTATTTCTCTGTTGCAATCGGGATATAACAATAGTTAACCCTGAAAAAAGCAGCGCAATCGCTACCAGATTGCTGTTGTGCTTGCAATAAGGAAAAACGCTAAATACATGCGTAAACACAGAAATATTTTTAAATAGGCACTATCATCATAAATAAACTGCATAGTTGCAATCTAAACAACTACTCAACTCAAAAAAGCCTCAAAAGTACATTATGCTGTCCAGCAGCAGCAATAAAATGTTGCTGTGTGTGGGTGGAGTAATAAACAACGGTGAAAGGTAAAGTGGCGGTACAAGTGCAGTTACTGGCACAGCTATTAGCCAATCAGATTCAAGAACCAGATAGAACTGTTGAACAAACTGTTTTATTTAAGCAAGGGAGTTATGTACAAACAAATTGTTCAGTAAAATCAGAATATTGATCTGAAAACAAAACTGCAACGTTTAGTGTTCATAAGTCATGGTGAGGAGATTAGAAGATTTATGGCTCAGTATAGAGTAATTCTGGTATATTTATTTTGTTTTGGTTACTTTTTTCCAATTTTAGTATACAGTTGTCGTTAAATATTTATTTAATTACCATGAAATGTCAGTTTTTATTCTGCGATTCAGTTTTTTTTATTTTTATATCCTTTCTGCTTTTATTACTTTTTCTCTTTTTTTATTTATCCAAAATTCACCAAAATACTGCAACATACCAAGCTATATGTCTGCAATTCTTTTTTTCACATGACAAAAACGTCAAATTTTAACATTTGCAGCTTAAAATTGTAAAACCTTTAGTGGGGAAAATGTATATATTTGCTTTATTTTTAAAGTCAAAATATATTTTGTGGTAATCAAACATTTCATTCAATTCCTGACCTGCTACCCATTTTAACCTGTACTGAACACAGAAAATTATTTAAAGAGCCCCTATTTTGCATTTTAAATGGTCATATTTTGGTTTTGGGGTCTTCAACAACAGGCTGATATGCATGCAAGGTCAAAAAAACACTTTCATTGTCTTATAATATGCATTTTTTTTTACCTATTTATCCCGTATGATTCGTTCAGTGATTCATTTGTTCCCAAACCCCTACTTAGCCCGTTGCTAATCTGCACTGATTGCTCCTTCCATTAATAACAAACATATTTGACACACGTATTGTATCAAAATCAGAAAAAAGACAGGAAATGACAATTACATTTTTTTAAGCCTTTATTCCCTGCAGCCGAACCTCCATCTGTCAGTAATTGTCATCTTCGCGTCATGATCAGTCCCATGATCCCCCCGCTCCTTTAGTGTCTGAATGGAAAGTGCGTTCATATTTTACTGGATCTGGAACTACATTTTTGGTTATGTACCGTATCGACGTTGATGCGTTCAGGCAAAAGATTCGAACCCAAATCGAATTCATTTATTCAACTCTGAGTCGACTATTTTGCTAAAGAATCAATAGTTTTAAACATGGTGCACTTTTAGATTTAAACCTCAGCTGGATGTTTTCACTTAGCGCTGTGACACACTGCATAGAAGCTCAGTTTCAAAAACTTTTGATAGGGGGTTTTTAAAGTATACCTATGTGTAAGACTTCTGACCACAAACACACAAAATTCCACAAAATACCAAAAACACACGAAAAACAAAACAAAAAACACAACACACATGATGCTGTTATCACCTGTGACTGATGTGCGTCGTCCCTCTTAGACTGGACATGGTTTCCTCCAAGTTTTGCCTCAGATCAGCAATGTTTTTCACAGTCCGGAGCCTCTTGGTTTCAGAGTCTTCACCTGAGGAAACCAGATTCATCATTATCACCACAGTCTACAAACATCTGCTACTGTATCTCTAAGGCATGTCCGAACACACATTCACACTCCTAAAACGCTTCAAAAAACGCACAGAGAATCACAGGATTGTTTAAATGAAGTAACCGTGTATTAGCATCGCAGCGCTGACTCTGCCCCTTTTTAAATCTCCTAGCATTCAGTAAAAGAGCTTTTTGTTTTCTTGCACCAATGTTAGTGTATGAAATGCTAGCCAACCGCTGCTTAAAAATAAACAAGCCCTGTATGCTGTAGGTGACAGGGGATTTAGCGGCTCGGATTAGCGACTGTTTACTGATCAAGAGGGGTCCACGAGGGGCTTAGAAAGTACAAGACAAACTCACACATGATGTAAAACGTGTTAAAGAATGAGTGGCGTGGTACAGTACATTCCTGGAGGCTGTAAAAACACACACACAAATAGACTCTTTCAGAACTCCTGACTGAGGCTAATGCTACTAATGCTAAGTCTCAAGGCTATTCCTTTCAGATATGGAAGATTATACATTAATAAAGCATTTAGATTGACATTGGCTTAATTTGATAAATTATTTAAGGAGATTTATGTTCATAACACAGCGTGCGTGTTGAACTTAAAATGCTAACAGGGTGTGACATTAGCAGACAAAGATCAATATTTCCAGTCAAATGTTGTTGTGATAGATTTCTGCTAATTCACTCATTTTCAATCAATTTCCTTTGGCTTAGTCCCTTGTTTATCAGGGGTCGCCACAGTGGAATGAACTGCCAACTATTCCAGCACATGTTTTACTCAACGGATGCCTTTCCAGGTGCAACCCAGTACTGGGAAACACTCATACACTCTCACATCCACAAACACACACTCATACACAACAACCAAGTATGTCCAATTCACGTCTTTGGACTGTTGGAAAAACCTGAGCACCCACTTGAACACAGGAAGAACATGCAAACAGAAATGCCAACTAGCCCAGCCGGGACTCAAACCAGCAACATTCTTGTTGTAAGGTGACAGTGCTAACCACTGAGCTACCATGCTGCCCTCTGCTAATTGTAACTGTTAACTAAAAACAAAATTCAAATAATAAACATGCATTGCCAAGGGAACAAGTTAATTTTGTAACTAATAATCAAAAAATGTGCAATTAGAAACTATATAAACCCATTTTAAAAACGAATAAAGGCAACATGAACATTGTAACATTGTAATTTGTTAATTTACACCACTGGTTACTACTACTACTACTACTACTACTACTATTACTACTACTATTACTACTAATGATAAATTATACATTCATTCATTCATTCATTTTCCTGTCGACTTAGTCCCTTTATTAATTCGGGGTCGCCACAGTGGAATGAACCGCCAACTTATCCAGCAAGTTTTTACGTAGCGGATGCCCTTCCAGCTGCAACCCATCTCTGGGAAAAATAAATTATACAAAAACTTATAAATAAAATAAATTGGATTAAAATAACACAAAATATTATTCAAACAATATTTTAGATCCATAAATAAGATACATTTGTTCACAGTTAATACACTGGGTTTTTATACAAGAAACAACCATTCAATTTTTTAGGATGGGGCTCCTTACACCAGGATGTGGGACTAAAAACCTCTGGCTTATTGTTTACCATACATTCTTACAATACAATTGCTGACTAGGGGGCGCTAAAGAACCCATTAGCAAAACACAACATTTACAATCAATCTACTGCCACAAGTAACTGTAAATGACACAAGTAAACGACTAGCTACCTTCAATAAAAAGCTGACAAAATGCCCCCAAAAGCAAATAACAAATGTGTGTTACTTTCCTCCTAAAGCCAACACATTTGCCCAACACACACTTCTACTTACTTTCATGCTTCTCAAACATGTCCAACATGGTCAGAAGGATCTCCTCATTAACCCGAGCAATTCCATCCCACACACTAGAGTGCTGGCTCAGATGCAACTGATACACACAGCTAAAGGTGTTGACCTCCCCTTCATTTAAAACCCTAGGCTGAGTGTGGTCAGCAAACAGTTCAGAAGATGTGGAAAGCCCTCCAGAACTGCTAAAATCCCGAACCCTGTTCTTTCTTCGCAGACTGGAGGAGTCCTCTAAGGTGTCCTTATAAGAGCCATCTTCCATTACCCTCGTTTTTTGAGAAGACACCAAATGACAATCACTTCCTGTTTGGTCCATCGATTCATTTAGGTCTTCCTGCACACTCTTTGTCCTGGTCAAAAACTTTACTAATGTGCTTTTTCCGGTGGCAATGTGTTCTAGACTCTCCTACACGTCTGTTAAGATGACTAAATGGTCTGTCTGACACATTCAGAGTTGTTATCCTGAGAATAAGCTGATTGATTTGTGAAAGAAGCTCTTGTGACGGTGTTCCTGCCTTTTCCTTTGCTCCATGGAAAAGAGAGAGGAAATCAGAAAACATCTCTCAAGTCTACACCAGCCCAGGGAACTTCCCCTGTGGAGAAGAGTTTTTCTTTCTACACAAAGTTCTGACAGACTGAAAAAGGACATGGACACACACACACACACACACACACACACACACACACATCCACTCATGCTGGTAGGCCTTGGCAGCTCCTTGACATCCATAGCCTTTTACATGCAGATGAGAGCTGTTTTGTTTTCTTGTACACTCACACACTAGTCTGACATTGGCCTTAGAGCTTGGAAAATACTGTGTAATATTCATAAATTATCAGTGTTGTTTTATACAAGATGAATAGATAGATAGGTAGATAAACATTAGTGACTATAATTAGCAACACTACTACAACATTTACAGGCACAGGACATCAACATGACATCATACTGACATTGTACCCCAATGTACCCCAACGTTGTGGGGACGTTGGATTTTGAAAATCTGGTTGACATTAGAACCCAATGACAGGCTGACGTCAATGTCCAACGTCCAGCCTAAAACCAATCTAAAATCAACCAAATATCAACATCTACTCATGTTACACCTTGATGTTGTGTGTGGACGTTCCCATTATGACATCTATCAGATGTTGGATTTTGGTCACTTTCCAACACATCATAAAATCGACCTAATATCATCATAACTTTGACGTCGTTATTGGACGTCAAACGAACGTTGCCCTTAGATGCTGGCTAGACATTGAATTTTGGTCACCTTATCTCATGACCTAAATCTAACGTAATATTGATAACGTCTTATGATGTTGTGTAGCTGCTGGGACATTTGGTTGTGGGATATTAGGCTGTTTAGAAACATACACTCACTGGCCAAAACTACCGGGTTGCCTTCAGAACTGTCTTAAGCCCAGGACACAGAAAGCTGATGTCAAAGAACAGCGGTGACAAAAGCCGGCTGTGTTGCTGTCTTGCAACGGCCGAAAAGGTGTGTGTGAACAAACTAAATAGATGACTTACATGCAAACATACATTCTTCAACTGTGCGAGAGAATATATATTCCACACCTGCAGGTGGCAGTATCTGTATTGTCACTCCATGAAGAAAAACTGGAACTAGTTCTGCTTACGTACAAACCATGAAAAAAGGCAGTATTTATGTACTTTCATTCATCTTCATAGCTCACATTAAGATAGTTTAGATGAAATTGCAGAGCTTCTTTATCCTCCGTAGACAGCAACAGTGCCATGTTGTTCCAGAAAAGTATCCAAAAATATTGTCAAAACATTTTATGTCACTTCAGTGGTTCAATTGTACTCAAATCAAGCTCCAAGAACTATTTTGTGCACCAATAAACTGTAAACAATTCTTTGTTCACCTGTATTTTCTCTTTCTTGTCAGGTTGTCAGGGTGCGAGTTTACTACAGGCAGTACACTATCTTACCAGAGTCAGTAGCTCAGCACACAACCATGGTCTTACTCAAAGTAAACGCACATCCAGATACAATGCGGAACATGTAAGAGTTCTTGAAGCTTCATGGGATTAAAGTTGAACCACTGAAGTCACACTGAATGTTTTGACAATGATTTTGGTTCCTTTTCTGGACTTTAAACAATCCTGGGACCATTGCTGTTTATGGAGGATGAGAGAGCTCTTGAATTCCATCTAAAATAATTTAATTTGTGTTATGAAGGTGAACAAAGGTCTTAAGGGATTTCAACAGCAATAGGGTAAGCCAGTGCTTCCCACAGGTTTGAAATATACTCACGGTGGTAGTGGGATTGAAATACACCTTTTACCCACATCACATAAGTAGTTAACTATATGTGACAAACAAAACATAATTAGATTTTTAACAATATTGGCATTTATTATGACACCGTTTTACACTCTTTCAATGGGTAAAATAAAAAAAAAGACTGTTGAAATAAAAAAGAAATCCATTATTTCCTTTATTTTTATGCTATTTAGGAGTGCACCCACTGATAGGTAAAATCTGATTCTCTCATTTAAGTTAAATTTAAATATATTGACATCATTAAACTAATAAAATATACAGCAAATGAGAAATAAATTACAACAAAGGAGTAAAACAGGCAATATCTTAATAAAGTAATATTAATTACAAGAATAAAACAAGGTGAATTAGTTGATTAACCATTTCCAATAGTGTACAAATATTTTGCAGCCAATTTAGCTATTATTTCATGTCATACTCTCGGAATATAGTAAAGTTTTTCTGTGTTGTTTACAGTCAGCTGTGAAGCCAAGCGAAAGTAGGCTTAAAAAAGGGTGTAGGTTTGCTCTTGACATTGGTGCTGACCTATGACCCACCTATGAAATTTGACATGTTAGCCTACTCTGAGAGATTAGAAGAACTGCCAGGAATCATATTATTTATACTTTTACATTTAGCAGTTTATTGTGCAGTTAGCTTTTAAACCATAATATTAAATCAGCTTGCTGTAATGTTATATTGCGTGTCAATAGTGGGAAAAAAATACTAGCATTAATGTACTTTTTCAGTGGCGAAAGCGAAAGCAAAAGTCGAATCCTAGACATTTTAGGAAATGTAGAAACCCCAGCCGGACTAATTTCTTAGATCCCAAAAAAGGCACCTCTCTGTGGGTGCTGTGAGTCTCTGCAGCATGTGAGATTGTCTGTGGGAGTGTTGACAGTTGTCACAAACATGAAATGAACAGTACAAAATGGGTAAATGAGAGATGATTTTCCACTACTTAATCGATGTTAGGATATACTGGCCGAATACATAAAACTGTAAAAGTATGATAATAATGTCTCATTAAATATACTTGGATGGCCACTACTATACCTGGGCTGTGTGCCCAAGTAAAGTTTATGTGTGGGAAGCACTGGCATAAACAATTAATAACAGAATTTTCAATGTTTGATGAACTAATCCTTTAACACTCATTAGCCCCTTTCACACATACAGACCTTTCCGGAAAATTAAATTAATTTTCCGGAAAGGTTGTATGTGTGAACAGGTCCTTTTTGAAAATACCGGTAAATTCGTTCTGGCTATTTTCCGAAAAGAGAAGTTGTAACATTACCGGCAATTTGCCGGAATGCTGCACTGTGTGAATGCAGAAGGAAGATTCCCGTAATAAGCACGTGCACGTCTAGAACGTGCTGACGTGAGACATCTGCTTTAGCCAATCACAACAGTCAGACACATTTACGTCCGCGCGGTTTATGAGAATTAAAGCCTTTGAATATTTTTCCAGACACATTTAGCTGCTAGAAGTTAGTCAGATCACGTTTATATGTTCTTCTTAATGCCAACTGTGTAAATAATCATCGATGAGATGCTTATGATAAGCCGTTGTTTGTTTACCTTCAAGCTTTGCGTGTGCCTGTGAAACAGCCTGTGAGCGCCTGCACACGCACATATTATGAACATCTCGACATGCGAAAGTGATCCTGCGAAAGTTGTTCACAATATTGATCATCCACAGAGTTTGTAAGTTAGTCAAATGTTTACAAATACAAGCGCAGCGTTTAAAGCTCATTTGTGGTGAATGATGTCAGAATTTACCGGTATGTGTGAATGCTCTTTTCCGGAAAATTTCCGTAACGTCCTCGCCTGTGTGAACAGCGCTTTTTTGAATATACCGGTAAAGTCGTTCCGGAAATTTTCTGGATATTTACCGGTATCACTATGTGAAAGGGGCTATTGTCTCAGTTCAGGTTACATTTTTCTATACTCAATAATTATGCTCAATGTTTACCTGACAGGTTTTCAAGCGAAGTATGGATAGATTTGCTGCACAGTCCTGTCCATTCCCTCCTGTCCTCCACTCTTGTCACAAACCCACTCTTATCAATCTCTGTTTGAGACCTACAGAAATACAGGGCTGATGAAGCTCAGAGTCATACTTCATAGTCCAACAAAGTGTGTAGGATAATACATAAAAGTGTCACCTGTACATGAATGGGGCAACAGTGGCCGTGTTGGGATGACTATATTGTTGCTGGAGCTGTGGAAGTTGCACACTGACCGTATTACTGGCCGTTGAGTTGGTCTTCGAACTAGCGGTGAGGTCTTGGCTACCTTTGCCCTCTGAAAAAGCTAAGCTAGAAGCAGAGCTGCAGTTTCTGTTATCTTTCTGGCCTTTATGTACAGACAAGCTTCCCATCCTTCCATTACGTAACCGATCTCCCTCCACACCACAAGGGGGCGAAGCTACAGCCTTATTTAGAGTTGAGCTTTTTCCTGCCTGGCTTGGTTTGGGAATTCCACTAATAGCTGGTTTGGCAATGTCTTTCTTTGCTTTGTTTCCTTTGGGAATAGACTTCTTAGACTCAAGTACAAGTCCATCGGTTTTGGTATCTCCTTTAAGGTGTTCTGAAACAGAAAGCTGTTTGGGCTTCTCTTTCTCTTTAAGCTTTGGCTTCTCTTTAACTTTTTCTTTCACTTTTGCTGAGGCCATTTTGGGTGCTAAAGCCCTTCCAATTGTTAACTGGGCAATGCCTTTCAGTGCCAGCTTGGGACTTGTGCTTCCAGAACTGGTGGGAGTAACAGGCCGCTGGTTTCGCGGGTGGATGGGACAAATCGGACCTTCTTCTAATTCAACTGCGATCACATCTTCTGAACTGGCAACATTGGATGCTCTAGAACCTGTTTTGTTGTTGAAGAGCTTGAGCTTTTCCAGCATGGACTTCTGGGCGATCACTTTAGGTGGAACCTCAAGGGAATCTAGCGGTGGTTGTTTAACCGTGACCATGGAGGACGTGGCAGTGTGTTTAGCGCTGAGAGATTTGCTTCTCCAGGGTTTGGAAGCAGTGCTGGTGCAGCTGGGTGGAGGAATGGAAGAGCTGATTGGTCCATGATCAACCATTATGGGCGATGGAGTTGTTTTCTCTGTTAATAGAAGAACATTACATGGAATCACAACTGCTTTAGTACTTGGGAAATTGATGCAGGAACCGACAATGACAATATAATGCAATGTCTACCCGTATAGCAAAATTTCTCTGACCCAGCTCTGGCCCACATAATTAGTTTTTGCTTGGCCCACATGCCGCAGTGAATTACAGCACATGACTGGACCAAGTCTTCCAGACAAGGGCCCAACATGAAACCATATCAGGTCAAAGTTTGAACCAAGTTAATAATACAGAATTTCACCAAATATTTTGGAGTGTCACGACTGCAATTAAATTGACAAACCCATGAAGTGTTGGGTTTTAGGCATGCTATGGGCATGCTTTTTTTCTTGAAGTGACCTGATTGGTAGAATCTTTTAACTTACTCAAAAATAATTTAAATGTGGGTCAAGATAGGTCAAACTTACGTGGCCCACATATATATTGCCAGTCTCACAGTGGTGAATATCTAGGGTTAAATAAATAAGCTTTTTTTTTTAAATGATGGACTCATTAAATTATCATTTAAATAAATCATTTAAAATTATCAGTATTGTGAAGTTGCATTGATGAGTCACACACAATATCGTTACAAAGTTCACGCGCACGCACACACACACGCACACAGAGATACACACGCACACCGCAGCTGACAAACACACACACAAACATACAAGCAGGCAGGCAGACAGACAGCGCGCTTAGCTTAGCACTGTTTTTGCACTCAAATGTGTCAGGATGCAGGCTAACCTCCACTGTTGTGTGGATATCTGTTATGCTAATGTACAAAATAAACCTGATTTAACTTCCACAAACCGGGACTGAAGCGTTTTCCTTTAAATTTTTTTCTGACACACGGCTGTGGTGATGAAGTAAAGCTGAAGTAAATCGCTGTAATTAATTACACACATGCACTGTTTTAAAACACTTTAAACATGTAAAACTTACTCTTTATCACATTTGATGATGATTGCTGATCCTAGCAAACAGAACAGACCTTTTATTCCCGGTTGTCTGCCTGGTCTTGTGGACATATACATGTGACTACCGGAACATGTTAATGCACGCAGCTGTCAATCAATTCGGTGAGCGGGGGGACCACACTCCTACGTAAAGTTGCGGTCGGTCTGAAAACCGCTGTAATTGGGCCACCGTTTTTATGTTGTTAAATTGAAAAAAAAAGGGTTAGGTGTGTTTGTATCACCCCAATATGATGGTCTATACCAGGGGTGGCCAACCCTGTTCCTGGAGAGCCACATTCCTGCAGATTTCAGTTGCAACCCAAATCAAACACACCTGCCTATAATTATCACGTGGTGTTCAGGTCCTAATTAATTGGTTCAGGTGTGTTTGATATGGGTTGCAACTGAAATCTGCAGGAAGGTGGCTCTCCAGGAACAGGGTTGGCCACCCCTGGTCTATACACTATATATACACATATGTTTGTCCAAATAGCTTGAAAAGTAGATTTTTCACCATAGGTGCCCTTTAAAATATTTGCGAAAAATATTTAACAATATTTATAAATTGAATAAATTTCACCAGGGTGACATGGTGGCTCATTGCTTAGCACTGTTGTCTCAGCAAGAAGGTCATTGGTTCGAGTCCCGGCTGGGTCAGTTAGCATTTCTGTGTGGTGTTTGCATGTTCTTCCCATGTTTACATGGGTTTCCTCGGGGTACTTTGGTTTCCCCCCCCCAGTTTAAAGACAAGCGCTATAGGTGAATTCAATAAACTAAATTGTCTGTAGTGTATGTGTGTGAATGTGATGTTTCCCATTACTGGGTTGCAGCTGGAACGGCATCCACTGTGTAAAATATATGCTGAATAAGTTGACGATTCATTCTGCTGTGGCGACCCCTGATAAATAAAGGCACTAAGCCGAAGGAAAATGAATAAATGAATCAATTTCATCAGTCTTAATTATGCAAACTGTTTTAAGATGGCAGACAATAATCCAAATATAAATGCATTGACTTGATTCATTTAACTACTAAAAGAGTTGAGGACTGACCAAGAAGAGGGACAAATAGTCACTCTGGCCAAAAAAAGTGGCTCAGATCTTTCACAACCTAACAAGTGCAGTCAAGCTGTTGCACATAGACATTAGCAATGTGAGGCCCGTGGGAGTCTGAAAATATGAAAGCGTATTGGCTGAAGAGCTGAGAAAAAGAAGCATGAACTATGAGGAAAAATATTTGAAGAATGCGCAGTGATGTATTAATATTATTTTGAGGTCCAATGTCTTTCCCCTGTGGTTGTTAGCAAGTAGGGAGCATTTCTTGATATACGAGACTGTTAAAATATTTATATTTTGGTTATATAAAAATAAGCAATTTGCAGAGAGCATTCTTTGTGACAATGTGATTAAACATCGTACAAATTGTAAGTTTTCTGTCAAAATAGCAATGCAAAGAGCAGATATAAAAATGTACAAAAACTTGATGATACTAGCAAGAATAATGATGATATGAATAATAATTGTATTATATTAGTAGTTATTTTAATTGACGCTATATTATATAACAAATTAAAATGTATAGCTTAAAATATGTAATGCAATGTTAAATAAATTTGAATAGAAATTATATAAAACATAAATTTAACAAATATTATATTACATTATCACACCTTATATTATATTATATTATATTATATTATATTATATTATATTATATTATATTATATTATATTATATTATATAAGGTGAAATAATGTAATATAATATTTGTTAAATTTATGTTTATATAATTTATTTTCAAATTTATTTAACATTATATTATATTATATTATTACATATTATATTATTTTATATTATTACATATTATATTATTACATATTACATAATGTTTAGAACTTAAACTAAAATTGGCCATAAAATACAACAGTATAAATTTCCCTGTGTTGCTAAACCGGCAGTTTTTTCTTTTATTTATAATTTATTTCTTTTATTTTATTTATTTAAAACTATATACACCAAAATGTAAATTATGTGGCATCAAGTTTAGCAGTCCTTACCTTAAAGAAAATCTCATCTTGCTTGCGGATTCTTCGAGCCGTTTGATCTCAGTTAGTCACTAACTGAACTTTCAGTTTTTCACTAAAATGTCTCTTTTTCTTTCTCTCTCTCCACACAAGTCTCTTACCACAAGTCCACTAATTAGTGCTGAATGAGTGAGCCGTAAACACTTTATTATCATCAACACACCAGAGTTAAGCACACAATCACCTCTCCATGCATGAAAACACGCATGTACAAATGAGGAAAATTTGGTTTATATGGCTTTATAAAAATGGCTTGAATACAAAATTCCACATACTCTCTGTCATCAACTATGTGACATGCGAGGAGGGAAAGGACCGCGGTAAATAGCTAAACGTTGAAGTGTGTAATCCAAGCCTCCCATAATGAAAGAACAGTGCGCCAAAAATGTGTCGACGACAGAGTATGCAATTACAGAATCATAAAATATTGAAGATTATGAAGGTTTGCTTAACTCGGAGACTGAACAAGTCGAGGGAGGATGGTTTGTGTTACTCAATTGGAGTTAAAAATACTTTTTTTTTTAGATAAACATGAACTAGTGAAAGATGATATAAAATAAGCAATAGTCATTCATTCATTCATTTTCTTTTTGGCTTAGTCCCTTTATTAATCCGGGGTCGCCACAGCAGAATGAACCGCCAACTTATCCAGCACGTTTTTACGCAGCGGATGCCCTTTCAGCTGCAACCCATCTCTGGGAAACATACACACACACTCATTCACACAAACACTCATACATTACGGGCAATTTAGCCTACCCAATTCACCTGTACCGCATGTCTGCATGTCGGAGGAAACCCACGCGAACGCAGGGAGAACATAAAAACTCCACACAGAAATGCCAACTGACCCAGCCGGGGCTCGAACCAACAACCTAGCGACCTTCTTGCTGTGAGGCGACAGCACTACCTATAGCGTCACTGCGTTGCCATAAGCAATAGTATGAAGTAGTATTACTAATAATACTTATCCAAGCTGTCTTTATAAAAAGAACACAAAAAATACCATACGAGTACTTTTTAAAGAGTTTTCTAAAACTATACAACAATATGAATATGATTATTTTAAAATAAAAATGTAAAAATATACATACATATATAATAATAATATCAGTAGGAATATACCAATTTGAATATTTCAAAACAAAAATAAAAAAATATACATTATTATACATATATGGTTTCAACATATTCACATATTACCATATTCCAATTCATATTATCAGTATTATTATTATTATTATTATGCTAAATATCTTTTTTCTTGGTTTATATTTAAATTTCTAAAAATGTATATAACTTTGTGTATAAAAATAATAAATTATACTTGTTAATATAATTATTTTAACGCTTAAAAAAATATTTTTGTAAATATAAGATTTAGGGTTTTTGAAATATTTATATAATAAAAAAATGCATGACTAATAATAGCAACAATAAAAATAATAATTACAATGAGCACATTTAGTTATATTTACAAAAAAAGCAAATCGAGCAAAAAACAAAGTTAAACCAGGAGAACATTTTACAGTTGATTCTAATAAAAAACACAACAATAAATCAGATTTTTCAGACGGTGTGTCCTAATGTTTAAAAATGTCTCATTTGAACAATACAACACTTTTGCAATACAACAGCTTACATATTCTTACATAACACACACACACACACACATGGCTTTGTGTAAATAAACTAACCTCTTTCATGAACGTAGGCAGAGACTGGCGGCTTTAACCGGTCACACTGGTTGAAGCTTTGACTCCGTCTGTTGGTGCTGCCGGTTCGAGGTTTGCTTTCTCCACTGGCCTTCGATGAGGGACTCTGAAGCCTGACAGAAAAGTTCAGTCAGATTGAACTCATGCTTTTCTTTCAACAATAACCACTTATGCTACAAGAATTATATAAACAACCCTCAGCAACCTTTTATTTTAACATGTGATCATCTGATGAAGAACAAAATGACTATTGAAGGGGATTCACATGCTTGTTTGGCCTCAAAGACCCATTAGATGATTGGGTATTTACAGAAGATCACCAGTAGATGGTGCTGTTGTTTAATGAGGAGAAGGAAAAGTAAATAATCGACAGTGAGATGTTTAGAAATGTGGAAAGCAGACCTAGTGTTGTTTTTCTGAGCAACCGAGAGTCTGGTGGATTTTTTCTGATTGGAGACTTTTGATGGATGACTTGAGGTCGAAGGAAACAAGAAAAGAGAAGGAAGAAAGGATGGAGAAAGAAGAAGTGTTAGAAATAGTAGAGGTGTAATCAATGATGGCATTCAAATAAATAAAGATGTAAAAATATGAATATTACAGTTAGAAAAAGAATGTTAGATTGAAACTGAATACAGTTTATAAGATTCAAAGTGAAAATAATACCTATTTATATTATAGTAAAATGAAAAACAATTAAATAAATAGAGTTAAATAGAAAAAATGAACAATGAAAAAATTTATAATATATCAAATAAAGAATAACCAAAATATGAACATTAAAATAAATACTAAATATTAACAATCATGGAAACTAACTACAATCAAGTATTACAATTCAAATAAATAAATAAATAAATAAATAAATAAATAAATAAATAAATAAGTAAATAAATAATAGATTTCAGCCTTATAATCTTAAAATGCCATCAAAACCACCTGCTTTATCATCACTTCAGACAGTATGCTAGAGAATCATTCAGATACTAGCTTTAAAGGAAGGTTGGTGAATTAGTAACAGCTTCTGCTGTACTTATGTCAGCTGCAAATGTGAATGAATGGTGAAAGAAAGTAGATAGTTATACAAAAGGATTTGTAGACTTTCTGTGTTTGATTTTCTTTTTATACACGATTCCGTCAAACTGTTGTATAAAGCTAATATCACACTCATAGCAGTGCAATATGGCTGTTTATCATCACTGGTGGGACAATAAGGCACGGCATGATTGTTTCCATGATTGTTAATATTTAGTATTAATATTAATGTTAATATTTTGTTTAGTCTTTATTTGATTTTTTATTTTATTTGATTTTTTATACAATAAAGTATTACAATTCAATTAAATAAATAAATAAATAAATGCAGGAAATAGACGGAGTTTTAAAAAATTACATTAGAACTACACTTTATATAAAAATAAATGCTAATTTTATATAATAATAAATATTTATATTAATTACTAACTAAATTATAGTAATTCATATAAATAAATGCAAAAATAATGAATATTAACTAACTATTAATAAAAAAAAACAATACTATATAAACAATTTTAAAGCAACACTAAATAATAGAAGTTTGAGTTCATAAATAAATAAATACATGCAGGAAAAAGATTCAGTTTTTGGAAAAATAGAAATGAAACAAAAGTCAATAGAGCTATTTTTAGCTTTAAAATAAATGCTTATTTGATATAATAATAACTATTTATATTAATTACTAATTAATAAATAATAATTCATTAAAAAATATTAAAAAAAAGAACTAAATTAAAAAGAACTAAAACCTAATTCATACTAATAAATTATTAATTAAAACCAATAGTATAAACACTATTTTATAATTACATTAAATAATAAAAGTTTGAGTTTGAAATGGAAAAAAATAATGGGTATTTTTTGGAAATGCTGAAGGTGTAAAACTTTAAAGCAAAAGATTGAAAAAGAGCCTATTAAGAGTATCTAAAATCATGCTTAAATTGGGACTAAAACTTCTACAAAACATCTAAATTGTAATAATTTCAAATATAAAAAAATTATAAAATAAATTGTAATAATTCACACTGAAAAATAAATAAAATACTAAAAATAAAAAAAACAAAATAAAATAAAACAACAAAAATGAAAAAAATAAAAATAAAATAAATATTTTAAAAAATACTAAAATAAATTGTAAACGTTCACAATGAAAAAATAAATAAAATACTAAAAATAAAGTAAAATAAAGCCACCAAGAACTATGGTCACACCAACTCCAATGCAACCTTTTCACGTCACATTGTATCATTTCATAAAATAAAAAAGATTTTACAAAATATAATAATAAATTAAGAATTTTTGAATAATTAAAAACAAGAATTTTAAAATCTCATCATGTCATATATACAACAATAACTTGAATTTGCATTTCAGCAGGTATGCCATCTATGCCTGTGAAGAAGCTATCCCCCACCTGGACTGCAGGTCTGTGTGTGTTTTCTGTGCAGGTGTAGATGAGGTGTAGTGTTGTTGGATAGGGGATGGGCAGGGAGAGCTGACAGGAGAACTGTGAAGAGAAAGAGCAGGACTGGAGCATCCATGGCTGTGCTGGAGACTCTGAACATTGCTGGAGGCCTGTTTCAAAGTCTGCTGTCTGAAGCGTGACAGGATAAAGAACAGCCCCAAAATGGCTTTCAGGTTCCCATTGCGGATCTCTGTGGATGAGTAGAGAGGTAAATACAGAATGTAGCTGACATTTGGATTCAAATATTTATATTAGTTAAAAGATTTGTTCATCACAAAATTCAAATTCCAAATCCTTTAGAAATGTGTGCATCTTTAGAGCACAAACGATGATATTGTTAAAGAAATTTGAGATCGAGAGTCTATTCACCCAGTGAAAGTGAGAACCAATGAGATTTATTTTTGTACGTCACAGTGATTGTTTCAGCTTCTAAAAAAAACAATGAGATTCTTTCTTGTGTGTCACAATTAAGCGGAAACCTCCCACTCTCCCTCGTGAAGCAAATACAGAAGTAACTGAAACTGCAATTTAATGAAATTCCCTTAGTCCTGGCTCAATAAAGAGCAAATTTCTATTGAGTCCACTGTTAAAATGGCCAACTTTACAGCAAAAAAGGCGTTTACAGCCTGGTACAAAAAACTATTTTTGTTCATACAGCTAATATTACCCTTCATGACAACTGTGAGGGGGTGATTTTTTTTATAAGTCATCTGTTTCCTTTATAATAGATTATATTAAGTCTGCATAATTAAGGGCGTTGCCACTTGAGTGACAGCTAGGTCTCGCTGGTCGCCATCACTTCACCTACAGCTTATAAGCTGCTGAACTCGGCATATACATCGTAATTTTGTTTTGTTTTATGTGGCTTTACACAGTCAGTTGCCTTTTGGAATTATTTCTTACTATTATCAGACAATATGGCATGCTGTGAGCATTTAATTGTGCTCACAAACCATTCACGTGGCCTCCATTTCCCAGGTGAGTGAATTTATAAACGTATATACCATCTCTATAAATGTATTTGTTTTACTTAAGATCATTTATCATGTATATTTTTCTTTAGACTAGTAATGTACTCTAGAATCTGACAGATTGATTAGCTGTAGGCTCATCTGAAATGTTGGCATGCAGTGTTATTCCTGGATTTCATCAATAGCCTTGCATTTACCTACACGGACTATATCTGAAGTGTTTGGAATTAATTTGCGTTTTCTTCCTGTAGAAAAACGTTATGACAACAGTATTAAGAGGCTTGAAGTATTACAGCAGTGTTTTTAAAAAACTAAACACTTTATTGATATAGTACACAACCAAGCACATGTGGTCAGAAGAAAAACGAGTCGCAGGTAAATAAGCATTTCTCCCATAGAAAAGCCTGTCTAATCAAAATGATAGCAGGCGTTTGTAGCTCCGCCTCTTTGCCCTTGTTTGGTATTCCCCAGTTTGTGTGATGACGCGCGAACGAAATGGCAATGGGTGGCCACGCCAACTGGTAGCTTCTTTTGGGTTCTTTAGAAACCTATAGGTGACATCACGGATACTAGGTCCATATCTTTTACAGTCTATGATCACAATGCATGTTTAGGCTTTGGTGAGAATCAATAGGATTCATTCTTGGATGTCACAGTGCATGTTTGAGCTTGGATGTTAACCTATGAGATTCATTCTTGCATGTCACATGGCACATTTGATCTTCGACAAAAACCAATGAGAATCATTCTTCAATGTCACATGTTACATTTGAGCCTTTGTAAGAACCAATGAGATTCATTCTAGTGTGTCACGGTACACTTTCAGCTTAAATAAGAATCAATGAGATTCATTCTTCTCTGTCACATGTTACATTTGAGCTTTCGCAAGACCCAATAAGATTAATTCTTGTGTTTCATAGTGCACGTTTGAACTTTGACGAGAACCAATGAGATTAATTCTAGAGGGTCACGGTGCACATTTAAACTTCAATAAAAACCAATGAGTCATTCTTCTCTGCCACATGGCACATTTGAGCTTTCACAAGAACCATTGAGATTCATTCTTGCATGTCACAGTCCATGTTTAAGCTTTGACGAGAATCAATGTGATTCTTGTATGTCACAGTGCATATTAAACTTTAGTGGGAACCTGCAACATTAATTTGTGTATGTCACAATGTACATTTGAGCTTTCTCAGTAACTAATGAGATTTGTTTTGGTTGAGCCAGAGCCATTTGTTTGGTGTGGTTGAGCTTGTTTATATTCACTGATCAAAAAAGAGTCAATTAAAGTTCAAATAAAATTTGTTTAAAGTATATGTGAAGATTTCTTTTGGAAGATTTGTATTTGACCACTCAATTTATATGGATTTAATTTTTTGAAATGGAGGCTTTGAACAGGGGGACAAGCAATCTGATTTATTGCAACATATCTTCATTTGTGCCTTAAAGATGAACAAAGCTCTTGTGGGTTTGCAATGACATGAGAGTAAGTGATGACAGAACATTTTCCTTTGGGTATAATTGACACTTTAAGACTCGTCTTACCTTCAGCACAAAGTCCCTTTATATTCACTCCTTTAGCAGCCAGGAAACCCAGACAGGCATCAATGTTCTCAATCTGAGAGAGAAACATGGACAAAAATAAAGAGAATGCATTTCAAATCAAGCCTAATAACCCACTGTTTAAGTGTTGCTAGGAAAATGTAGCCCACCATGGCCGGTTCGCACACTATATTCAGGTGTAAAAGAAACATAAACCCAGCAGATGGTGCTCAATTGGGGAGATTTGTGGTTTTCAACCCTGTGGGTCCGTCCTGTGGTGTTTCTGTGACATTACAATGTATATCCTGAGCGAGACATGGCGAGACGATGAGTTGCTTCACACTGATTTACACCAGGGGTTTAAGGTCAACAAGACCTGCCATTGTCCTCAAAGAGAAGGATTATTAAAGGGACAGTTCACACAATAATTCATTTGGGTAATTTTATTTAGTTATATTTATAGTGATGTATTCATTCTTTCATTTTCTTGTCGGCTTAGTCACTTTATTAATCCGGGGTCCCCACAGCGGAATGAACCGCCAACTTATATAGCAAGTTTTTACGCAGCGGATGCTCTTCCAGCCGCAACCCATCTCAGGGAAACATCCACACACATTCACTCACACACTCATACACTACGGACAATTTAGCCTACCCAATTCACCTGTACCACATGTCTTTAGCCTACCCAATTCAACTGTACCGCATGTCTTTGACATGTCTTTGTCTGTGGGGGAAACCGGAGCACCCGGAGGAAACCCACGCGAAGGCAGAGAGAACATGCAAACTCCACACAGAAACACCAACTGAGCCAAGGTTCGAACCAGCAACCTTTTTGCTGTGAGGTGATAGCACTACCTACTGTGCCACTGCCTCACCCATAGTGATGTATATTTGAATTGAATGAAAGATTCTAATAGGCACCTAATTATTAAAAAATTTTTAAGTTTATAATTTAATGAGATACATTTTATACTGAAACACACATTTTTTGTTCCTATAAATGTAATATGTAAATCAAGTCAAAAACCACAATTTCACAATAAAATAAAACAAAACAGATTATAATATAAAAGAAATAAAATAAAGTATTTAGAAACAGAAAAAAATAACATAATGTATTATAATATAAAAAGAAATAAAATAAAATAATGAGAAAAAATAAAACGAAACAAAAATTTAATTAAACAAAAAACATGTTATAAAATAAAACTAAACAAAATAAAAAAATAAGAAACAAAAAACTAAAATAAATAAAATAAGATATAATAATAAAAAAAGAAAAAAGAAACAAAAAATAAAATAAATAATATAATGTAATATAATATTATATAAAAATAAATAAAATATTAAGAAAATAAAAATAAAACAAAACCAAAATAAAACCAAAAAATTATAACATTTTATGATAAAAATAAATAAAATACAATAATTAGAAACAGAAAAAAAAATAATAATATCATATCATATAATGCAATATAAAAAGAATTTAAATTCTATAGCAAGAAAATAAAAATAAAACTAAAATAAAACTAAAAATAATAAATAAAAATAATAAGAAATAAAAATAAAATAACAAGAAACAATAATAAAAAAAATTAATATAACATAAAAAAATAAAAAGGAATTAATCAGAAATAAACAGAAAAAAATAAAATAAGAGTTTTACTTTAAGTTTTAAATTCACAAATTTTTCATTTTTCCTTTTTGAAGGGTGGAAGTTCGTTTTTTTATCCTTCTTTGAACTCACAAAGACTCAAAACATAACATAAAAATGCACAACAAAAGATTTTAGTTTTACCATTTCAGAGCGACTCTCTGGAAATCCGTTGATATCTGCAATCTTCTCATTTGCTGAACGAAAAGCAGAAAACAGAGACATTTAATTAAAGCAACTATATTTTCCACCTGTTACTTGGTTCATAAATACATTGTGGTGTGGTCTTTTGTATTTACAACAGAAATGAGAACAGGAATGCATTACCTCCTCTGGCATATGTTTATTTTATTTTGGCTTATTAAAATGTTCACAACTCAGTTTGTAGCCTCATAAACCACCCACAAATTGCCCCTTTTCAGAAACAGATCCCATAAAACACATTCAAAGTAATAAAGGTGGTTAGTTTCTGTTATGCTCTTGTGCGTGTGTGTGTGCGTGCGTGTGTCCGTTGCTTTCCTCCTTCTCTCCCTCCTCATTATGGTGAAAAATGACTGGTAGAGGCGAGCAAAATGGTAGGTTTTATGTATTCTTTTCATCTGAAGGAAGAAGAAGGGTTTGTTGAAATATGGAAAATGATTTTTATCTTTAATCTTACCTACAACCTGAATGATTTCTGCCAGCAAAACGCCATCCGCAACATCCTGCTGGAGGTCTTTAATCAGGCGTTTGTGTCCGGATTTGGCGAGGTAGTGGTTTGCCCAATCTGTATAAATCTGTATGCAAAAAAAAAAAAAAACAGACAGCGACGGATTGAGGAAAAGACACTTAAAATCCAGCTCTGGGTTTAAAACTTATATGGATGAAAGACAAATGACCACATTGTGGTCCATCAGCTACCATTTACATATTAGAGTGCAGACAGAGAAATTTATAAAGAAAACCTATTGAATAGTCAAGTCGTCCATATATTTATATATAGTTATTAGCCCTACTGATATATTCGCCCTCTTTATATATTTTCCCCAACTTCTGTTTAATGGACAGAATATTTTTTTCATCACATTTCTAAACATAATAGTTTTAATAACTCATTTCTTATAACTGATTTATTTTTTTTATCTGTGCCATGATGACAGTACAAAATATTTGACTAAAAATTCAGCTTGAAGTGTAATTTAGAGGCTTAACTAGGTTAATTAGGCACGTTAGGGTAATTTGGAAAGTCATTGCATAACAATGGTTTGGTCTGTAGACAATCAAACAAAAATATGGCTTAAGGGGTTAATAATATTGACCTTAAAATGGTTTTAAAAAGTTAAAAACTGATTTTATTCTAGCCGAAATAAAACAAATGAGACTCTCTCCAGAAGAAAAAAATTACAGAAAATACTGTGAAATATTCCTTGCTAGAAAAATTCCCATGAATTTCAAACATCATTCACCAGTGTCAAGTTCTATTAAACGGCGATTTTAATCTTTACCATAAACATCGGTGTGTTTAATCTGAACTATAAACTGTTCTCCCAGTACTGCTGTGTTATTTAATTGCTTGTAACTAACTAAAAAAAAGTGTAAAAACTGAATCTCTCTCGACCAAACGCAGATTTTATTGCAGTGCCCCGAATGATTAATAAACATATGCAAATCACTATCATTCATGTGATCATTCATGTTACACAGGTTTAAATTGAGATCACAATCTTTTTTTAATGTTTAATTGCTTTAATGTTTTTTAATGTTTAATTAGCTTTAGACTGAATTCATTAATGCAAGCTAAACATAAAGTGACAGAAAACACTTTTAATTGATAAGAAAGCATTAAAGTCCCCCCAAAACTTTTCAATTCTCATTATATTTTACAGGGAAGCCAAAATACTTTCATACACGTGATTTGAATGACACCGGAGGCGACCTCTTTGCAATTGTTTTAAATGTTGTATTAACCTACAAATTCAAAAAAAGTTATTAATCCGCGGTTCTTGTGCACTCCAAACTGTGGGTTGTGATCCGTACTACATCCTCATTAACTTGCATAATTAACCTAGTTAAGTCTTTAAATTACACTTTAAGCTGAATGCTAGTATCGTGAATAATAAAAATTAAAATAAAAATAAATGCAAAAAAGTCTAGGTCTTCGATGAAATGTTATACACTGTATTAATTAAATATTCCAGGATTTTACCTGCAATTTAGCAAATCTCCATTTAGGAAACATAATCAAGTTTAAAAGAGCGCAATGTGAGAAGTGGAAAACACCCTTTTAATGGAGATTCCTTGACCATTTTTTAATGGCAACTTCCAAACACAAAACTAAAATGAGACATTAAACAAACTAGTAACTCCAATCGTCACGTTGTTTCACAAGCCAGTCAACTGTGTCCGAAACGTCAACCTAGTCCTTGTACCAAAACGTATTTGGCTACTTTTTCGTTAAAGTGAAGCATTTTCCGGCACCGAGGCCAATACAAAGAAAGACATAGGTGCAGTTTAAGGACACAGTAGTATATTAGTACCAGTGTTTGCAAAAGGGTGCCCACTATTGGCCTCTGGGATTGGTGTGTGTGGTGTCCATATGGCCAAATGCCCACCTGCAGTGCGGCTCACCACTGCTAATGGAGCACTGTAGTAAAACCTCTATGTGTGTGTGTGTGCCGTAATTACAGGCCAACTGGCTTAGCTTTTCATTCTACACCGCCACATGAAGAACTTGGCTTTTCCCTTCCTTCGTGGCTCTACTGGACGTATGAAGTTATATAAACACATGTATGCACACACGCGTAGATGTAAATGTACAAAGCGCTGCAGCAGACATTGCGACTTTCCACCGACGATTTGCTTTGACCAGGTCAGCAGGTCTATTCTTACAAGGCATAATATTTTTAAACATGCTAAAGTATAAACACATGAGCTTGCAGCGGGAGGCTCTGAAAACAGAAGGTATGATGGTGGTAATAATGGAGAGATGAAAATATGAATTCAAACACATATTGTGCCACAGTGTTATTTCAACATCAACCATACAGTTGGTGCAGCTCAAGTCAGAGTGGAATATAGACACAACAAAATTTGAAACTAAAAATAACTAGAACATTCTTTTTAAAATAAATATATACTTTCATTCATTCATTCATTCATTTTCTTTTCGGCTTAGTCTCTTTAATAATCTTGGGGCGCCACAACCCATCACTGGGAAACACCCATACACTCAGACAATTTTAGCTTACTCAATTCACCTGTACCACATGTCTTTAGACTTTTTGGGGAAACCGTAGCACCCAAAGCAAACCCTTGCGAACGTGGGGAGAACATGCAAACTCCACACAAAAATGCCAACTGACCCAGCCGAGGCTCAAACCAGCGACCTTCTTGCTGTAAGGTGACAGCACTACCTTTTGCCCCTTAAATATATACTTGGTACTAGGGTTGAGCCCATAGACGATGCCATCGTCCATCGCTGATGACCAATACACAACACGATGCTGAGCTGGCATCGCTGATGCTCCGCATTGCCCCCTTCACAAACCCGCTCGCGATAAATACACACACTGGCCCTGTTTACACTAATACGTCTTTGAGTTAAAATGGCATTTTAGAACGATCCACATCCACACCATGTTTTACCTAGCATTTCTGAACAGCCCTGCATCCGCTGGAAACGCACATCACGTGACCACACACACACACACACACACACACACACACACACACACAAACACACACACACACACACACACGAGTGGTGCTCACTGCAGAGCCACACACGCACACAGCCACGGACTTCTGTCAGAGTTTCAGAGACATAGACCAGTGCACGTCTTTATCAAGGTTGTACTGCTGGATCGCGTCTCACTACAGTTGTTAAACGTGACATTCAGACATCCCAAACAAGTCTCCCGGACGTTCTACACGTCGCGCGCAGTCTATCAACACCCCCTCCTCCTGCTTTTCAAATGAGGATGATGCCATCGTCAATCGCGATGTTTCACATTAGACATTGTACGATGCCAAATAGGCCGACATTGCCCAACCCTACTTGGTACATCTTAATTTGTTTGATATTTTATTATGTAATGCAAAAAAAACACCACACACACACACACATACACACACACACACACACACACAACTGGTTCCAGATCCTGACTCCTTACACTCTCACAGCTGAAGCTGCTCAAGTACTGATTCATGAACTATACAAGCAGCACAAACACACACAATGCTGCCGAGTCTTGTCTACTGTTTTAGTGACACTACAACACATTTTCCTTTGTCTTGGAGTGGTGAGAGTTCCTGATTAACATGCAGGGATAGTTGGTTCGGATCCAGGCTGATACGGCTATTTTTGAATTGCTTTATATCAGTTTGAAATGCTTTGTTCTTGTATCGTTATGTTTCAACATTGGTCTGACATCCAAACAAACACTTTGTAAAGTGTTCGAAACACTTTAGTCACATGATCTGGGTGTTTCAGATCATGCTTCGGTGCAGCGCTTCAAAACACTTGCGCTTCGGGATCTCGACACTGTGTTGAAACGGCAGTTTCAGGTCGGCCATCCTTAATGTTTGCTGTGTTGACCATTGCTTACCTGACTTCCCTAATAAATCTGCATTTGGATCCGCACCCTGTTGTCAATGTCACACCCCATGGTTACAGTTTGGAAAGATTTTACCCATTTAGATTTCGATTTGGGATGATCAAGTCATTTTCAATGCATTATATTTGCATAAATTATAATAAATTACAAGTATATATATAAATACAACAAAATGGTATTGAAATTGCACAATTAAACAAAACAACATAGTCATCATTGTATAAACCACTAAAAAAAGAATAATGTTTAATAATATTTCTATCTTTTAATATTCAATAATTCATAGAATCTTGCGATGTGCCTATAGTGAATGCACACATTGGGATATATTCCGCAGCCCTATTTCAGTATAATACAATGATACAATATTACAGTATCTAACACAATTAGGGGCGACACGGTGGCTCAGTGGTTAGCCTCACAGCAAGAAGTTTGCCGGTTCGAGTCCCGGCTGGCTCAGTTGCCATTTCTGTGTGGAGTTTGCATTCCTTTGTTTCTTCCAGTGTTGCCGTGGGTTTCCTCCTGGTGCTCCGGTTTCCCCCACAGTCCAAAGACATGCACTAAAGGTGAACTGAATTAACTAAATTGGCTGTAGAGTATGTGTGTGAATGAGTGTGTATGGATGTTTCCACGTACTGGGTTACATCCACTGTGTAAAACATATATGAGTTGGCGTTCGTTCCTCTGTGGCGACCCCTGATGAACAAAGGGACTAAGGCGAAGGAAAATAAATGAACGAACAACACAATTAGCACCCTGTATGGAAGGCTATTTCTGCCATAGATTTGTGTGAGAAAAAGCGTATTTGAGAGATGTAAAATTACACTATGTGTAAGAAGGTCACAATCGAATATATAAAGTTGCAATTATGTGCATAAAAGTCTTTATTTGTAGGAAATTAGTCAAACAAAAATTTGAAGTTGTATAAAGTGTAAGTGGCACTACACTTAAAAGCGACTTTTGTCGTCCATTTAAACTCCTTATTTAAAATGAGCTGAAAAAACACAAATCTTGAGGGCATTTTTGGAACAACGTGATTGTTTTATGTTTAATCTATTTACATTTGTAAAAACGATTAAGTTAACTTAATTGATTTGTGTTAAAAAAAACATGAAGGAATTGTGTCAAACCCATGATTTTATTACAGTGTACACTGTAAAAAAATCCATGGTTCCATA